TACTACTGCTGCTAGTACTACTAATATGACTACGACTACTACTACTACTGCTACTACGACTACTGCTATGACTATGAATACTACTACATCTATTACTAGTACCACTACCTCGAATATTAATACTACTCTGTTACAGCTAGTACTACGACTACAACTACAACAACTACAACTACTACTACTACTACTACTACTACTACTACTACTACTACTACGGCTACTACTACTACTACTACTACTAAGACGACTACTACGACTACTACTACATACGTTAATACATACTACTATACTACTACTTACTACTACTCTACTACTACTACTACTAACTACTACTACTACGACTACTTACTACTTACTACTACTAATACTACTACTACTACTACTACGACTACTACCTACTACTACTACTACTACTACTACTACTACTACTACCACTACCACCACTACTACTACTACTACTACTACTACCACTACTACTACTACTACTACTACTACTAGTACTACTACTACTACTACTACTACTACTACTGCTGCTGCTGCTGCTGCTGCTGCTGCTTCTGCTACGCTTCATATTACTACTACTACAACTACGACTACGAGGCCCCGTAGGGAGCTCCAACGAAGGCCCCAGTGCCACCGCCCGCATGAGTCTCACACACCCATTGCTGCACACCCCTCAAACGTTTCGTGGCCCCGTAGGGAGCTCCACTGAAGTCCCCAGTGCCACCGCCTGCACGCGTCACCCACACCAATCTCGGCACACTCCTCACACGTTTCGTGACACCAAGGGGAGCTCCACCGAAGTCCCCAGTGCCACCGCTCGCATGCGTCACCCACACCCATTTCGGCACACCCCCCCAAGCGTTTCGTAGCCCCATAGGGAGCTCCACCGAAGGCCCCAATGCCACCGCCCGCATGCGTCACCCACGCCCATTCCGGCACACAGCTCTCGCGTTTCGTGGCCCCATAGGCAGCTCCACCAAAGGCGCCAGTGGCTGCGTTCGCATGCGCCCACCGTATCCATGTCAGCACACCCATCACACGTTTCGCGACCCATAGGGAGCTCCACCGACGGCCCCGATGGCTGCGCTCGCACGCGCCCACCGCGCATATTTCGGCACACCTCTCACGCGTTTCGTGGTCCCATCGGGAATTCCACCGACAGCCCCAGTGGCTGCGTTCGCATGCACCCACCGCACATATTTCGGCACACATCTCACGCGTTTCGTGGCCCCACCGGGAATTCCACCGACGGCCCCAGTGGCTGCGTTCGCATGCGATCACCGGACAATTTTTGGCACACCCCTCACACGTTTCGTGGTTTTATAGGGGGTTCCTCCAAATGCGGTGAATACAACGACGGTGCTCACAACTGTATATGGTTAGATCCTTCGCCAGGTGAGCGTTGTTTTATTCGGCGTTCCGACATTGGGCGGAAAGGGGGGGGGAGGGGGGTCAAGGGTGACATTTAAGACTATGTGGCGTGAGGTGTTTCTCAGCATAATTATTTTCATCATCGTCACCATCATCATCTTTACCATCATCATTATGTTCCTCCTCCTCCTCCTCCTCCTCCTCATGTTGATTATCGTCTTCAGCCTGTCTTCGGACTTCCTCCGGGTCTCTCCAGCCAAGATCCGGCCAAGCAGCCTGAAGGCACGAACGTCTTGGGCCCACGAACCCTGTGAGGGTACCAACAAAAACAAAAAAACAAAAAAAACTTGGAGGGTACAAACAAAAACCAAAAATCAATGGTTTTCGTGCCTTCGGACTTCCTCCGGGTCCCTCCAGCCCAGATCCGCCCAGGCAGCCTGAAGGCACAGACATCTTGGGTCCACGAACCCTGTGAGGGTACCCAAAAAAAAAACAAGAACCCCCCCCCCAACAAAAACAACAAACATTGTGAGGGTACCAAAAAAAAATCAATGGTTTTCATGTCTTCGGACTTCCTCCGGGTCCCTCCAGCCCAGATCCGCCGAGGCAGCCTGAAGGCACAAACGTCTTGGGTCCACGAACCCTGTGAGGGCACCAAAAAATATAAATGTATATATATACATATATATATATATATGTAAAAAAAAAAAAACTGTGAGGGTACAACAAAAAATCAATGGTTTTCGTGCCTTCAGGCTGCCTGGGCGGATCTGGGCTGGAAGGACCAGGAGGAAGTCCGAAGATACGAAAACCACAGATGTTTGGTTTTTCTGGTACCCTCACAGGCTGTTTTTTTGTTTGTTTTGTTATTTTTGTTTTTGGGGTACCCTCACAGGGTTCGTGGACCCAAGACGTTTTCTGATTGTTTTTGATTGTCCGGATTTCTTATTGTTTTTGATTGTGCGGATTTCCCATTTTTTCGATTGTATGGTTTTCTTATTGTTTTTCATTATAGGGTGTTCTTATCGATTTTCTTGTTGGAGGCTTCTTATCATGTCTCATTGTACCAACCCCCTCCTCCCCACTACTTCGCCCTTCTCCTCCCCCTCCGTCCTGGCCTGGGAAGCGA